TTTTGCAGGAAAAGACCACTGGCTAGATAATAGGAAAGGAATCGGGCTGATTTTTCTCCAAGATAAGTCATGGCCTCTGAGACTAATTATATAGCTTCAATAAGTACCTCAGGTGAGATCACCCAATGCAGTCATTTGTATTCTATCACATAACCTAAATGTTTATTTATTTGTCCTGACAAACATGAAACTGCCATTGGTCATAATTCTGAGCTTTGTCTATTTTTGCAGAGTTTAACTTGTGCTTAAAATATTGTTCATGCTTGAAATGAACCAAACCTAATTGAATTTTCTTTAGGAATTTGCCAGAGGCATCCCCATCTGGAGTTAGTTCAAAGGACATGGTCCTTTCTTAGGATAATGATGACTATGATTCTGACGTGTGTCATCTCCAATTATCCACCATGACAATATGATGCGTTCAATTTGCTTTTTACATCACCAATGTTTTACTTTCACTTCTTGCTTGTACATTTCCCTTCCATGGTGACGAAGTGCCACTGGTTCCCTCCAGTCCCTCTTCTAAGTGGCTAATATTCTTATGAACCTTCATTGTGAGAAGTTGGGCTGTTTGCCCACCATGGGCACTGTTGCACTCAGGTAACTCCCAATTGCTCGACGAAAGAAGACCAAGGTCCATCCAGTTCTGCTTCCACCATCCTAGCAGTTGCATGCACACGTCATGTCTCAAACTATATATATATACCACGATATTATTTCCTAAAATCAATCAATTTAAGTTGCTTTTGAAAGAATTGACATTTTCTGCTTCCACTGTCTCCCTAGGGAGCCTGTTCCATACATTTACTACTTGCTCACTGAAATGATGTTTCCACAGATTTGTTTTGTATTATGCCCTTTTAATCACAGACCACGTACTCTGATGAAGTTCAACTGGTTCCCACCAGTATGTCTCCTTTCAATTAATTCAGCTAATTTCATTAATTCATTCACCTCAACATTTCAATTAATGTTGAAATGCTGAGATCTGCCTGATGCTAGCAACCAAGGTATGGACAGCCAGCTTAGCGCTGCAATGACTGACTTTTGGCAAAACTATTTGAAAGAAGTTGGGAAGGTATTTCCTGCAGCAGCAGGAGCAGAATATACCTCAACGTGATAATTATCACATTCCGTATGAAGTTTTCACCCATAGAAACAGTAATTTCCATTCACATTTTCAAAATGGAGGTAGAGGTAGATTTGTTAGGTCAGGGTATAAAGGGATATGAGGACAAGGGCGGGTAACTGGACATGAGGTATATATCAGCCTTGGGACGTCCTTCCGACGTGAAAGGAGCTGTACAAATGTAATCTTGTTGTTGTAGAAAATTAAGAAATAACAACAGCATGAACCTGGGTCTCGATTTACTCTCTTAACATTGCATTTCAAGCACCTAGAATTTGTCATATTTTTAAATACAGCCTTTAATTTTGAGGCCAGATTTCTGTAAGTTCTTTTAAGAACTGGAGAAATCAAGGCTTCGAAGTTACAACTGAATTCAACAATTGTCAAGTTGTGCACACTTTCTGTTTGTAAATCTAGATCCAGGTGGAATGCGTACCCACAGAATGTTTAATATCCTGACTTCCCAAATAATGGGACTAATACAATTGAATAACCACATTTTGCGATGCAAGTGGTGCAACACTTCAGAAAATCAAAAGAGCATTGAATACGGATGAATATTTCAAAGGAAAGTAGCAACGAGTAGGTAACTGAAACAAATAATTTATTCAGTTCCCTCTGGAATACTAGCAGTGCTGTGATTTAGTTTTACTCCAAAATCTTAAACACTTTCAATAGTCTTTCAGGTTATTTACTTCACTGTTTGTGCAGTGACATTCCTCACAAAAGGATTTTGCAAGTTAGATGGATTTAAGTGCTTTGAGACAGGTTCCTGACATGAAAGGGGCAATATAAATGGTATTGTAAGACATTGTACGGAATATAGCACCAAACCTAACCTCAAATATAATAACAATCTTTGTATTTAATACTTTGCATAATCTTTGCATATTGCCAGTCGTGAATTGAGTGACCAAATTATTTTTTTTTGGAGGGTTTATTACCCCCAGAATGTGATCCACCAATTGTATAACAACTAGATTCCTATTTACTGCAAGGCAAACAGAGACGTATGGGATAAGGAAACTTGCCCAACGTTTCGACCCGCCAGGAATCAAATCCAGGTCTCTCGCTTGTGAGGTGAGGGGTCTAATCACTGAGCTACAGGACTCCACATATAATAATAATATAATAATAATCCTTGCATTTGATATAGCACTTTTCACGTCAGGAGGACGTCCCAAAGCGCTTCACAGAAGACACTGTAAAGTGAATTGACTGTATATTTGTGGGCGAACGCGGCAGCCAATTGCGCACAGCAATATCCCACAAACAGTCGTAGATTGAAAATGACCAATTTATTATTGTTTTGTTTTTTTGGAGGGATTATTATTAGGCGTGTGGAGTAAGGAAACTTGCCCAAGGTTTCGCCCTCTGCCTGGAAATGAACTCAGCCACAATATAGGAATTATTGCTCAACCTAATACTGCAATTCTTGAGTTAAAGAGGACGTGATGTGAAATATAGATTACAGTTTTGTTAGGATTTCATTGCTATGATTTATATTTATATTTATAGTGCTGGATTTATATGATTCTATCAATTATATACATTAGAATACATTAGAATACACAGTACAGAATCAGGCCATTCGGCCCAACCGGTTTGTGCTGGTGTTTATGCTCCACATGAGCCTCCTCCTGCAATTCCTCAACTAAGCCTTCAAGCATAACCTTCTATTCCTTTCTCCCTCATGTACCTATCTAGCTTTCGGCGAAACCTTGGGCAAGTTTCCTTACTCCACTCTAATAATAATAATAATCCCTCCAAAACAAAACAATAATAAATTGATCATTTTCAATCTACGACTGTTTGTGGGACATTGCTGTGCGCAATTGGCTGCTGCGTTTCGCCCACAAATATACAGTCAATTCACTTTACAGTATATTCTGTGAAGTGCTTTGAGACGTCTAGAAGACGTGAAAAGCGCTATATCAAATGCAAGGATTATTCTTATTATTATTAAATACATCTATGCTATTTGCCTCAACAACTCCTTGTGGTAGCATGTTCCACATTCCCACTACTCTCTGTGTAAAATAAATTGCTTCTAACTTCCCTATTTGATCTATTTGTGGTTATTTTATATTGATGGTCCCTGGTTTTGGACTCCCCCACAAGTGGAAACATCTTCCCTATGTCTACCCTATCAAAGCCTTTCATCATTTTAAAGACCTCTATCAGGTCACCCCTTACTCTGCACTTTTCAAGAGAAAAGAGTCCAAGCCTCATTCAGCCTCTCCTGATACGTTTAACCTCTCAGTTCTGGGATCTTCAGTGTGAATCTCCTTTGCACCCTCTCCAGTGCCTCTACATCCCTTCTATAAAGTGGGGACCTGAACTTCACACAGTATTCTAAGTGTGGTCTAACCGAGGTTCTATAGCAATTTACCATAATTTCCCTGCTTTTCATTTCTATCCCTCTAGAAATGAACCCCAATGCCTGGTTTGCTTTTTTTTTGTGGCCTTATTAACCTGTGTTGCTAATTTTAGTGAATTGTGTATGTATACCCCTAGATCCCTTGGTTCCTCTACCCCATTTAGGTTTTTATAAATAATAATAATAATAATCCTTGCATTTTATATAGCGCTTTTCATGTCTTCTAGATGTCTCAAGCGCTTCACAGAATAGACTGTAAAGTGAATTGACTGTATTTCTGTGGGCGAAATATTTTATTTTCCAGGATGTATGTGATTTCCTAATTCCTTCTACCAAAATGTTCCACCTCACACTTTTCCACATTGAAATGCATTTGCCATGTAAATGCCCACTCAGCGAGTTTATTTATGTCTTGCTATAATTTGTTGCAGTTCTAATTTGGTGTCATCTGCAAATTTTTAAATTGTAGTGCTGATTCCCGAATCTAAATCATTAATGTATATAAGTGCAGCCATTAAATGGGGTTGTATCATCTCAGCTGTTCATATGCAAATTCTGATTACTCCAATTTTTCCATCTCCCACACCTTCGGGTCTAACACATTTTATTACAGTTGAACTCCTTTTATTGGCTTGTACATTAGGTGCTGTATTTCTGTTGTCTTGTGTACACGGCGTACATAGCGTTGGGGGTGGCACAGTGAAATATTTGGCTGTGTTGGGGAAAGGTGGGATAAAGGAACATAGAGAGGTACCAAAAAGGGCATCTGCATTGTCCTATTTTGGTTGCTCTCTTGGAGTAGGAAAAAAATGTTTCTTATAGAAGGGGTGGAGGGAATAGAAATCATGTTAAATCAAGTTTAATCACGACTGCTCTCACCACCCATTGCTACATTTGCAGAGGGCTGGAGTAAGATAGCAGCATCGCCACATCTTGGACATGTTCTGTGCAGATTGGCAGCATTGGATAAGCATGTTTCACTGTGTTAGCGAGCCACATAGACTTAAAGTGGAATCAAGCCTACTATTTGATGATCTAAAGCAGTAGCTGAGGCTGTAGCAATACAATTCATCTCAACATTCCCTAGGTTAGGGAGGGGAGAAAATTAAATCATTCTTTCCCATTGAAAAATGTGCATTGTCTGGATATACGAGGACAGACTCAGGTTCGCTATGTAAAAAAGCCTGGCACCATTCGATACCTTGGCTTACTCTTGATGATATACTGGAAAGCAATCAGTGCCTGTGGATCTGTACTCTAGCATGTCAATGCCTTCATAAGAGGACAGAAAGTTATTTTCTTGAAAAAAAGTTGATCAAAATAGGTGAATTGCTCTTCCAATCAATCAAAGGTTCATTATAATTTTATCTGGTCTGGAAAAGAACTCAAATATAATGCTGTTTCTTGTGCATTTATACAAGTGCATAAGATGAGAAGAATGAACGAACGAAAGAAAAACCGACTGAGGCAATGTGATTTTGTTTTGTGCAGAACAAGGTGTTTATCTACCGGGGAAAGGAGTACGAACGAAGGGAAGATTTCCAAGGGCAGATCATGATCCAGTTCCCAAATGCAGAGAAGATGAATACAACATCAGCTCCTGGGGATAACATCAAGAACTCACCTGGACAATGTATCCTTTCTGTATGTTGTGGGTTGTGTTTAAGATCTTTATTCACCTGAAGACTGATATTTTGCAGGTAAACGTATTACTGTCGGATTGAGCTTGTTGAAAGGTATCATCAAGAAGCCTACGGTTTTCATCCACCTTCTGAATGAGTTAATCTCAGCCAGGACAATAGTGGAAGCACTCCTCTTGATCTTTGTAATGTCCACTACCACCTCACCCCACGCTGCAACGCAAGCTTGGCTGAGATAAATTTGGGATAGGAATAAAATCAGGCTGGGTCCCTACTCAAGCTTCTAAATCTCAGTTACGGGGACACTTGAGCAACAATGCTTGACCAAACCAGCCATTGCTCCCACTAATTGTGATTTTATGCCCCCTTTTGGAGAGGGAGACATTGAATAAGAGGAAACCCAAAATCAGAGGGCCAGACTACAGCAATCAGAAGACAATTTTCAGAACAACAACAACAATAAGTTGGATTTATATAGCGCCCCCCACGCCGGACAGCGTCTCAGAGCGCTAACAAAGCTCTGATCCTGGGCTAACCAAGCACAATGACACCTAGACACGTCTGCCTTATATAAATAGTGATTTGAACATAAAATAGAGTAGCAAACACGTTAGTGGTAGGTGCCTGAGCTGGAAACAGAAGACTCTCAAGGCTGGAGCCTGTTGTGATTATAATGGAGTTCAGACAGACTCTCTGGTTGCATTGCCAATGACTGCCCAAATCAGTGTTACTCATGACACTAGATTGTCTTGCCTACAGTCAGGCATGTTTTCAAGTTGCTAAAGGAGAATGCAAAGGTAAGTTTACAGAACTTGGGGAGAACATGTTTGCAGGGTTATGAGAAGAGAGCGGTGGAGTGGGATTGATTTGGATAGGTCTTTTAAAAGAGTCGGCACAGACACAATGGGCCGAATCACCTCCTTCTGTGCTGTATAATTCTATGATTCTATGAAACATGATCATGGGGACAGCACTGGTTTCAAATGAACCCAGCTTAATGCATGTCTTGCTAGAAATGAGGACTTGCACATTGAAGAAGTGTATGACTGTGCTCACTCTTCTCAGAGGAAGACAGTACACTTCCTGATGATTATTGAGAGCAGGGAATCTTCGCACTCGGCTCTTGTTAACCCTACAAGTCAAAGCCTTAATGGGTAGGTTAATCCTGGAGCAGCAGGAAGCTTGCTAAACCATGCTCTCATTGGCAAGCTATGTGATTTCAACTGCTTAAAATCCTGCAATACCCCACTGTGCATTGTGGAGCCCTAAAGTCTCAGCTCCTGTCAACCTAAGTCAATCCTAATTACATCAGTGGAGTAGATCCATCCAGGGAGAGATTGTGTTTTCTTTTTCAAACACAGGGAAAAATGTCTATGTGCAGGTGGCATGCATATGAGAAACTCTCAGTCCAGTTAAGATGCTCTTAAACATAGTGAGGGGTTTCCGCATGGCAGCTAGCAGGCTGGCTTAAAAAAATAATGATGAAACATTTAAACTGAGCTACTCTGTTTGATGTTGATCGACCTGCTGTGCACTTTCTGTTATTTTATATTTTCAATTATTCAGTTTTTGTTTTTATCTGAACAGATAAAATTGGTCACTCACTTCATGACTGTTTGTAGGACATAGTGCCAGGGATGAAGGGGATGAGTTACGAGGATAGGCTGACCAATTTGGACCTATATTCTCTAGAATATAGAAGAATTAGAGGGGATCTTATATAAACCTATAAGATCATCAAAGGGCATGATAGAGTAGGTAGTGGGAGATTGTTTCCCCCGGTTGGAGAAACTAAAACCAGGGGTCACAACCTTAAAATCAGAGGCTGCCCTTTCGCATTGAGTTGAGGAAGAACTTCTTCACTCAAAGGGCGGTGAATGTATGGAACTCACTACCCTAAAGGGCTGTTGACGCTCAGTCCTTGAACATATTCAAGACTGAGATAGATAGATTTCTTATTGCAAAAGGGATTAAGGGATATGGGGATAAGGCAGAGTTAGGTTATTAGCTGGAGTTAGATTAGAAGATCAGCCATGATTGAATGGCGGGGCAGGTTCGAAGGGCCGAATGGCCTACTCCTGCTCCTACATGTTATGTTATGTTATGTTATGTTATGCTATTACTGTGCATAAATTGGCTGCTGTGTTCACCTATAAAATACAGTGACTACATTTTAATGTCACTTCACAGGAATTCGCTCCTTTTCCCCCCCCTCTTCTCTTACACACCACACACCACCTACCATCTGCATCCGAATAGAACATCACACTGAAATTAATTCACCAGTGTTTGAAGATGGGATGAGACTCAGGGGAATTGAACAGTTGTAGCCCAGGCTCTACTGGGAACTGCTGTCGTCACTTGGAGACCTCACCTCCCTTTTGCACTGAACGTGTGCTCAGTAAATACACAGTGATAGGTGTTGGGTAACGTCAGAAAGCCGAGAAATGGGACACAGGTAAATTAGAGAAACAGGAACCAAAGATGCCAAGGAGACTGATTTACATCAGCACTTGATTAATGTCTTCATCTACGCTGTACGCATCATTAACAACATGGTTTAGCAATGCCATGAATCTCCGGTACCAGGAAAACACTCATTATACACTTGGTTAAGAAAGTGCCAAACCTGACTTACAGTATCTCTCAGCATGAATCAGAACGTTCAAGAGAGGAGTGGATGGGGAAACAAATGATAGAGTTTAGGTCAGGTCATGACCAGGATAGATTAATAAGATCATCTTTAAAATTAATAAGATCATTAATTAAGTGAGCCCGTGTGTTAAAATCACTCTCTCACTAACAACATGGTTCTTTGTGGTACATCACAATTGCGTAAAATTGGCTGCCACATTCGCCTACATAACAGGCACAGTCACTACACTTTATTTCCTAAGGGCTATCTTGAGTAAGAAATCTGTGTACAGATTCCTTCTGGTAGCTGGTAATTATACTCATGCCATAGAGAACCTGCTCTGAAAATAGATTGAGTCAGTGTGGTCCGTGTTACAGACATCGAGGTTTCTTAAATAACAAAATGCCGCAAAATTGACCCCAAAGGTAGATCTGATTTGAGCCACGCAGCAAGTTAACTGCAATAAAAAAAGAACCGTGGCTTTGCCTGGTGTGGTAAAGGTGAGAAAACATAGCAGTTAATAACATCCTTGACACTCAGTACAGTCATTCAGTGCTTCACTGTCCAGCCAGTCCTGGATGAACATCCCGGTTTCAAGAACAAGCCAGTGCCAGACCAGATCATCAAGTGAGTACATTGCTCAAAGCTTCGTCAGCTCAATAATCTCAAAACAGTTGATCTCCGCAGCTCATCAATGGTTTAGGGGCACTGGAACTTGGGTTTAAGCATTCGTTGTGTTTATAAATGTTAATGGCCAGTGTGAGGCGCACCCCCTCCAGCTTGCCCTCCTGCAGGTGTTGGCAGGCCTGAGGTGTTGATACATCACTCGGTTGCCATAGACATGGAGTAGGGCCCATAAATGTTTGTGTAGCACATTCCTCAGAGAGATCTTTCACACCTTCCTCGCTGAAAGGACTTTAAATGTATCACATGAGTGATTGACTATCTTTCTTATAAAAAATATTCCCCAGCAATGACCTAGTTTGGATACAGTTTAGCAACACTAACTATCATCAAAGTACTTTGGGCTTCAAAGGCACAGACACAGCGCAGACCAGATTAGATTAACAGAACAGATAAAACATAACAAATAAATTCTAAGCAATTGATGAACGATCTTGCAAGTACAACGACACCTCCATTAATATTGCACATACACTTCAAGTTGGTCTATGGAATAGGGATTTTAGGAATGGAAGACTACTGGAATCCTCTACACATTACATGAATGTGTTTGTGGGACATTGCTGTGTGCAAAATTGGCTGCCGTATTCGCCCACAAAACACGCACAGTCACAACAATTTAAAGTATATCCTGTGAAGCTCTTTGGGACATTTTCCTGATGTGAAAAACACTATACCAGATGTAAGGATTCTTATTGGTATGAAAGTTTGAAAACCACACTAATATAAACAGACTAACTGTCTCTGTTACACGTCTTGTCTGTATGGTGTGACATTAAGAATTCCTGTTACATTCAGACTCTGTGGGTAAGAACATGAGAAAGAGTGAGTTGAAGAAAGACATTCCGCCCACTCTTCCACAGCCTTGCACAACAGCCTAGTGTTTTAAGTGTCAGTTTGCTACAAAACCAGCACTCTGGGCTGTGAACATTGTACTATTCACTCTCTATCTGATTTCCTACAGCTTCTACAAGGCAAATTACGTGCAGACTTTTCAATATTCCAGGCCCACAAGGAAGGGATCTGTGGATCGGGATAATGAGTTTGCTGTAAGATTATTTTTATTTGTTTTTAATGAATGAAATATTGACTTGGGTGCAATTTTTCCTATAAAACAGACACAGGTAATATCAGCGATGCAACATTTGAATGTAATGTTGGAGGCATCAAGACAGTATGGAGAACTGAACAGTCAAAAAATCCATGTCTTATTTTGTAATTTGTATATAAAATATTTCCTATTTTGTATTATACAGTAATTCCTTCAGAATCTAATTACACAGGGTAAAACATACCTGAATATTTGTTTTATTAAATCAAGATAATATATTTATTGGAGAATTGTGAGGGTTCTTCAGTCAGATTTTGGGGCAGTTGTTTCTAGTTGGAAAGTATCAAAAGCACACGATTGTTTAGAATTATGTTCAAATTGTTCCACTGGTGAATGTTTGCTCCAGAAATGGAGTCATGTCACACTGTTGTGAGGTTGGGGTTCAAGGATTGTGCTTGGGTAGAATAGAGAGAGCTTTGCTTTGCATCTAAACCTGAGATGCCTTACCTAGAAATGCTGAATCCTTTTCTAAATCACTATTATTATTATTATTATTATTGATAAACATAGTGAGTAACCAACACCCTATGAGCAGAATTGCAAAAAAATATAAGATAAGAAGGTCATGGTTATATAAGATTGCTTGGCTCATTGGCAGCACTCTCGCCTCTGAGTCAGAATTGTATGAATTCAAGCCCCACATCAGGACTTGGAACCCATACAGTCTCTGCTCACACTCACATTCAGTGACCAGAACACTCCACTGGAGAAAGCTGTCTCTCATCCAGGATTCAATGTCTGATTGGCAATCCAGATTCACGGAGGAAGGAAAGATTCAGGAATTGAAGGAGTTGTACAATCTTGATTTCCTGGCAAACAGTGAGTGGGAGAAGACAGTGTTTTGATTTCAATGCAATGAGAATGGAAAGACGATTTAGTACTTGGGAAGAAGAAGAACACAGCTCTGGATCACAGTCATGTTTATCCTGTTAAACTTCTTCTTTTTGATTTACAGTCAATGTGGATCGAAAGAACAACTTTCCATACAGCATATAAATTACCTGGGATTCTGCGTTGGTTTGAAGTCTATTCTTTTTCTACTGTGAGTACTGAAGCTCTTTGGTTAGCAACCAGATGGGTTATTTTCAATGTGCTGCATACTATTGGGATTCAAACTTTCAGCCATCTTGAAGCGTTTAACAGAATATACTATAAAATGATTTGACTGCATACTTAGTGGGTGAAACACGGCAGTCAATTGTGCGGAGCAGTGTGTGTCCCACCAACAGTCATGGATTGAGGGACCAAATTATTATTATTTATTTATTTGATTTTTTGAAGAGATTATTACCCCTGGAAAAGCGGCCTATCAATTGTCTAACACCCAGGTTCCTATTTACTGCTAAGTAAGTAGCATGTGGAGTAAGGAAACTAGCCCAACATTTTGCCCTGGCCGGGAATTGAACCCAGGTTTTATTGCTTGCTTGCTCTAACCACTAAGCTACATAACTCCATAATAACTTTATGTTTTATGTGGGGATGGGGCTGTCATCAACTGAATCAACAACAACAACTTGCATTTATATAACGCCCCTCACGCAGGGTAGCGTCCCATAACGTTTAACAAGAAGACTTAATGAAGACGAGAACGATAAGTTTTATGTTGCTACATTACAAGTCGACCTTGTTGTGGATTTGCAGTGGGTTCATCACATTAGAGAGTGAGATTGCCTAGAAACACCGCAGTGTGACAGCTTGGGTTATCCCATCAAATGTACCCAGAGACTCCCCCCTCACCCACCCACACACCCACCCACACACACATACACCACCCACACACAGACCCCCACACCTCCACCCCCCACCCCACACCCCCCAAACACACACACACCAGACAATCATACAACATGGAGGCTAACCCATGGAACTGCCACTGCTTTTATTTGCCTGTTAGTGGAAAGCAACTTTTTTCCTTAAAAAAATACAACTCAAAAGTAGCTGGTGTGTGCTAATTTGCTGTCAAATGCCAGAGGTTCAAGGTTAAATCCTGTGGCCTCAGCTCTCCAGACATTGCCATTGAGAACATCAAGGTAGGGTAGGGGAAGGTAGGTACCTCCATCACATTTGATGTATTAGAGGAGTATCCAGGCACATCACAAAGGTGTAAACAGCCTTATAATAATTTGGTCACTCAATTCACGACTGTTTGTGGGGACACTGCTGTGCGCAATTGGCTGCCGCATTTCGCCCACAAAATATACAGTCAATTCACTTTACAGTATATTCTGTGAAGCGCTTTGAGACGTCTCGAAGACGTGATAAGGCGTTTTATCAAACGCAAGGATTATTATTATTATAACAGAGGAGTCTAATGTCTGTTTTCACTGTGACAGACCACCATCAGTCCATTGGAAAACGCCATTGAAACCATGGAGAAAACCAATGAGAAGATCTTTACTCTGATCAACCAATACCAAGGCGACGAGAACCTCGCCATCAACCCGCTCTCTATGCTGTTGAACGGTATTGTGGACCCGGCCGTTATGGGCGGATTCGCTAAATATGAAAAGGTAAGGACATCATTTAAGGGACAGGCTCAGTGTCTGTCTAACCTGCAGCCAAGTCAACAAGCGGGAATGTGTTCATTTGTTTTCAGTGAATGCCCGATTCCCATATGAAATTAATCTTACAATATTTATTTTTGAAACCATGTCAACTGTTTTATCTTCTATTCTTCACACCGTTCTGTAACTATCAGGGTAATCGGGTACTGAATGTGATTGATGAGGGATTCGGTGTGACTGAGCACAGTAAGGGATGCAGTGAGATAGAGTAATATCAGTGGAGATTCAGTCAGTGTCACTGACCATTGACTAGGAGGAGTTACTGAGCCCGACAGTGTGAGGCAGTCAGTAACACAGGACATAGGTCAGAAGGAGTTACTGAGCACGACACGCCAAGGAACCTTGAGTAACATCGGTAGAGATACAGTCAGTAACACAGACCACTCCCTACTGAGCGTGACAGTCCGAGAGAGCTAAAGTAACCATTTCTATTTGTAATTCTCTCTTATATCCTCAGGCTTTCTTCACAGATGAATATGCTAGACAGCACCCGGTAGATTTGGATAAACTGACCAAACTGAAGGATCTGATAGCCTGGCAGGTAAGAGCAACAAATTCATCAATTGTATTTTGAGCAGACACTCCCACATTCACTTAATTGCTCTAACATGCCCTTGGCAACATCCCCTAGCTACCACCCACCCCCAACCCATGTTCTTTTTGGAACAAGCTCGAAACATTCCCATATTTCTGTACTTCAAATGACTCCAAGGAGCAGCAGTATTGCCTTTGTTTTACCTAATCTGACATGTCAGTGCTCATGAGTTGTGTATCGTTGAGGGCTGTGCCGCAGTGAAAAATTGTGAAAGCTCAAAATGTGAAACAAACCCAGGAAGAGCTGGTAATGAACTGTTGGTTTGTCAACAAGAACAACGACGATAAATTACACTTGTAAAGCGCCTTTCACGACGGAACGACAACAGCAACAACTTGCATGTATATAAGGTCCATCTCGCAGGGTAGAATCCCAGTGCGCTTGGCGTCTCAAGGCGCTGAAACGACTGTAAGGAGTCGAGAGGTAACAACAACAACAACAACGACAAAATTACATTTATGCAGTGCTTTTCACATTGGGAGGACGTCCCAAGGCGCTGGACAAACAGACTTTCCCTTTTTTTATTAATTTTTTAAAAATTTGTTTTTTAAAAATTAACTATTTTGGGCATGACTTTCATCACACATGTGATGTGATGATTAACCACCCTTTCCGTTTAAGAAGCCTAAAACACCCAGGTCAGCGAAGGGGTTAGCGCGTGAGACCATTTTGTCTTAGCTGTTAAGGTTGAGCAGAATTGCGAAAAATTCCTAAATTCAGGTTTTGTATCGAAAACTGCAATCCTTAAGAAAGAACTGGCAAAGTCAGGCAGAATTCAAGCATTTTGCTCAGTTTTGTGCACTTATTTTTAAGCAAAATGGTCTTACAGGTTAAGACAAGATTAAATGTCAAGCCTTAGGATGGATGACCTGCTATGAATTCCCACTCAGGTGCAGGTTATCCTGTGACTTGGTGCAGTACTCATTCCTGACCAATAGGTGGCAGTATGGGAGTGTCACTGAAGGTACAAGAAGTTGGCTTCTATTTGGCTAAAACCTTTGCTGATTTGCCTCCTTTTCTCCTCCAGATCCCTCTGCTCAGAACAGGAATAAAGCTTCACAGGAAAAGGGTCACGGATATTCTTCGACCATTCCATGACCGCATGGAAGAGTGTTTCAAACAGCTGAAAATCAAAGTAGAAAAAGAATACGGAGCAAGGGAGCTGGTCAGTGAAAATTACCCTTACCTTTTAGTCAGGACAAGGGAGAATGAGTGAATAAGAACCTGATAGCTGGACGAAAGAAGATCAAGGTCCATCCAGTTCACCTTCTAACCGTCCTGGCAGTCACTTGCACATGTCCCAAACTATATACTTTATCCTGAAATATTATTACCTAAAAGAGTTTGAGGATCAGTCACTTTTTAACACAATGATGAAAATTACAGCACAGTAGAAGGCCTTTTGCTCATCTTGTTTGTGCTGGTAGCGATCTCCTTCAGTGGAGCTCCTTATTCTAATCCCAATATCCTATCTTTCCCCATGGCTAATTTGGAAGCCTAGGTGCAAATAGTTGTTGTGTTTGCTGACAATATTGCATGTAAAAGGCTTAGAGACATCTTGATGTGGAAAAAGCACAATAAAAATACAGTTTCTTCTTGTCTTTCAGCCCGACATTGATGACAGGCGTACCAGTCGCCCACGCTCTATGCTGAGGTCCTATCGTCAGGTTTCCATGATTTCGCTGTCCTCCATCAACAGTGACTGCACCACCCCAACTAGACCCAACCCCAACAGGTCTGCTACCTTCAAAAGCAAGACATAGAAAAATCTCCCTTTCAAATTGCACCTTAAGACCTACTTCTTCGATCAGAGGGAGTTGGGGGAGAGAGAGAGAGAGTGAGGGAATTGGGGAGAGAGAGTGGGGGAAGTTGGAGAAAGAGAGGGAGTTGGAGAAAGTTAAGAGAGAGAGAGAGAGAGATCTTTCTTGGAAATAAGATAGAGTTTTGATTTGAACACTTTGAGAATACTGGGAGGAGGAACTGGGTGTAGGATGGAATATTTAAATTTTAATTACATGGAGTCACCTTAGTTTTTAAAGTAGTTTGATTTTATCGCCACAAAGAATAATTCATCACTAAATATAAAACTGTGATTGTATCTCAGAGATAGCTGACCATCTGAGATGCTGTTTTGGATGATTTTGTCCAGTTGGCTTTACTTTCTGTGCTATTTTTAAATAGAATGAACAATAATAATAATCCTTGTATTTGATATAGCGCCTTATCACATCTTCGAGACATCGCACGGAATATACTGTAAAGTGAATTGGCTGAGTATTTTGTGGGATACCGGGCAGAATGAGGCTGGTCTGTAAATTAAGGTCTTTCTCTCCTCAGCGCATTCGTAGAGGTGCCAACACGCAAGATGTCCATTTCCAAGTCTGAAGAAAGGTCACTGGATCAGATCACAAAGGAGGAAGGAGAAGTCAAACTGAGGAAGGATAAGAAGAGGCACAAGAGAAGCAGCGTGGTGTTTGCAGACAGCAAGTCAGAGGCCAGCATACATACCGAATCCAAGAGGGTAATTAATACAGCACTACATATTAATATGCAGACTGGATCACTCAGAGAGACGGTGGGCTAATAATCCTCATTTTAGATCCCAGCCTCCTTGGCTTCCATCAACGTCTTCACTCCTACGGATCTGAACTCCTCAACCTCTGTGGGCTCTCCCTCAGACTCACCGAACCAGTGCACAATCTAGGTGTCCGGTTCGACCCCCAACTGTCTTTCCTTCCTCACATCCAACAACAAAAAGATTATATTAGTGCCTTTCACGTCGGGAGGACGTCCCAAGGCGCTGATCTCTGACCAGGACCGCATTCCTCCACCTCTACCACATTGCCTGCCTCCATCCATACCTTACCTCAAATGCAGCCGAAACTCTTGTGCATGTTTTTGCCACCTCCCCACTGGATCACTGGATTCCATAACCCGATCTCACCAGTTCTGACCAGGCTCCACTGGCTCCCCATCACTCAATGGATCAACTTCAAGATCCTCACACTTGTGTTCAAATCCCTTCATTCTCTGGCACCTCCCTACCTCTCCGACCTCCTCACTCCCCAATCCACCACCTGGCACCTCCACTCAACTGGCACCGGCCTCCTGCTCGTCGCTCGCGCCCTCCACTCCACCTTTCGAGGTCACGCTTTCAGCCACTACTCCCCGAAACTCTGGAACACTCTCCCTCGATCCTCTGCCTTGCCCCCTCTCCTCTTTTTCAGGTCCTGCCTGAAAACCTTCCTTTTCAACCATGCTTGTGGTCACCTCCCCACCTCCGGCTCGGAGTCAGGCTCTGTTAAGCGCTTTTGAGACACTGCCCTGCATGGAGGGTGATATAAGTGCAAGTTGTTGTTGTTTTGTATAGGCAAATTTAATTTAAATGCAGATTAGTTATTTGGTTTTAAATCTAAATCTTGTATATGGTCTCAGAGCATTAGTATGTGTTTATTCTGGCCAGTGGTCTTTTTTGCTATTGTACATTAAATGTAAGAGCTGTGAGTAATTGACTGCCTCATTTCGTCAACAAAATATAGAGTCAATTCACTTTACAATATATTCTGTGAAGCGCTTTGAGATGCCTTGAACAACAACAACAACAAGATTGCATTTATAGAGCGCATTTCATGTCGGGAGGACGTCTCAAGGTGCTGGACAGTTGGGTCCCGACCAGGGGGTCAGGGTGAGGGGAGGGAAGGGAGGGAGCGAGGAGGGGTTAGAGAGTCGAGAGGGAAACTGAAGGCACGGTTGAAAAGAAAGGTCTTCAGACTGGCCTTGAAGGAGGAAAGGGAGGAGGCGGCGAAGGCACTGGGGGATGGAGTTCCAGAGCCTCGGGGCTGAGAGGCTGAAGGCCCGACCACTGATGGAAAGGCGGTTAGGGCAGGGGATGTGGAGCAGACTGGAGCCGGAGGAATGGAGGGTACGGGCAGGTAAGTACGGGGATAGTAGGTCGGAGAGGTAGGAGGGAGCAAGTGATAAGTGATAAAGGTGCTGTATCAAATGCAAGGATTATTATTATTATTATTATTATTAAACCCCATTGCTCAAGTGGATATTAAATGTTCCACTTCATTGATTGAAAAGAGAAGGCAGTTTCTCCTGGTGTCCTGGCCAGCAATCCCCAAACTAAAATTGGTCATTCATGGCTGTTTGTGGGATATTGCTGTGTGCAGATTGGCTACAAAATACATAATCACTATATTTTACACTATATCCTGTGGCATGCTTTGAGACGTCCTCCCAATGTGAAAGGCGCTATAATCAATTCAAGTTTTATTATTTTTTATTATTATAATGAATAGCTGGATTTGACTACCAAAAAAAGTTGGCATAGAGCATGATACTGGGACCTCTTTAAGAAATAGTTCACTAGCAAAAGTTAGGGCTGAATATTGTGATAGGATGAGATCAAATAAACCAAAGAGCTTTCTTCACCTGCACCTCTCTTGTGGGCATACAGGAGCTGAAACGTGATCTTATCATTTTCTAATTTTTTGTATCATCTCACAGCTTTCCAGGAAGCAGGAGTTTAGGAGTGAGACCAACTTGTCAGACAATATGGAGAAGAGACCAACTTCTGCGCTGCTCAAACAGATGAGCTTTGCGAGCAAGTCCATGCCCACAATTCCAGGTACAGAGCACCGAGTCCAGAATGTCACAACATAGGAATGTACGGGACACTCAAGAAGGGCTTTCTTCATCTCTGCTTCTCTTGAACAGAGAAACACAGGGATCATTGTGGTCCATCTGGCTAATCCCAAAGTAAAACTAAATCCTGTACTTCTCTGTCTCTCATACCTTGCCCATCGATTCCATCACCAAATAGCTGTTCAATTTCTATTTGAGTTTGCTGATACAATCTGACTCACTCTGTTGTCTATTCCAACTTCTCTTAACTCTCTATGTAAGCAAGCTAAATTTGAATTTTCTATACACCTTTCCTCTCCTTGTAAATATTTTGACCATGTGAAGCAGATTAGGATTCATCTTATCAATACCCCAATAAATTTGGGGCTGATAATCCACTATTTCTATTCAATATTTTCCTAGAGACACTACCCACTCGCTTGTGTAAACCCATGGGCTGTTACTACCCTTTGGCTTCACTGAGCATCACTTGCTCTGCTCATTTAGTTAGGAAAACATCACAGTGATGGTCAATCATTGGCATCATTAAGTCAGAAGGATATTATTGGCCTCTTAAGTTATGGATTAGTAATGCCCAGGCATGTTTTTGCACATATCAAACTCCAGTCTAATCCATTGTCTGATTCCCAAGATTTCTTCCAAGGCTCCCAATGTTCAAATTAATTCATGAAGGATATTTCAATCCAGTCCTTCACAGGTACAAATGTATGAACTGACGAGTGGGACGGAGGGCAGATAGTGGATAACAATCAGGAACTCTGTCTGTTTCCTCCCCGTTTCTGACTATTGAATCTTAAGCCAATATTCTCTTCAGTGCTGCCTTGATTGAGCTGCATTAACTCATCACAGACTCTGCCATTGAACCAGGGATCTTTATTATTATTAGGATTATTAATAATCCTTTTATTAATCCTTTCACCCATAAAATAAACAGTCAATTCACTTTACAGTATATTCTGCAAAGCGCTTAGAAATGTCTCGAAGACGTGATAAAGCACTATACAAATGCAAGGATTATTATTATTGTTTATCTTCCTGTTCTGCATGTGTCCAATTATTGATAAATTCTTGGTTTTAGACACAAAGATTTTGTGTTGGAAAAATACCACTATCAATGTTTGGATTTACTGCAGTTCATAATGAATACAATAATTTTCAGCTCTGCTATTTGCTCTGGCGAATGGAGGCGATGACCAGGGTTTCGAACAGAACACGTCAAAGCGAATCAGTCAGCCGCTATTTGTGTACTGTTCCGAGGAAACTGAGGTGACAGAAAAGAAAAGCACGAGTAAAAGTAAAAAATCTTTCTTCAAGAGCCGGGTGAGTTCCTCATGTTATCCAGTGGACCACTGTAGTTTGAATGGCTTATGAACCACATGTTTCTCTGTCTGTATCTCCCGCACTTCCCACTTCACCATTAGTAGTCTGGCATTCAGCATCTCTGCCCCAAAATCTGGAACTCTATTTCACAATCTCTCTGCCTCACTCCCTCGCTTGCCTCCTTCAAGTCCCATCTAAAGACCTTCCTCTTCAACGGTGCCTTCGGCCACCCTCCCACCCACTGCCTCCACCCGTCCTGACCCCAACTCCCAGCTCGGGTTCAAAAATCCTGACTGTCCAGCACCTTGGGCCATCTCTCCGACGTGAAGGACGCTATACAAGTGTAATTTAGTTGTTCATGTTGTATCGCTTCCCAATCAAATTGTGGCACCCAGGGGCACCGGTTGGAAAATTAGTCAAACTACAGAGAGATAGGAGCAATTTAGAAATGTAAATATATTAGAGAAAAGTGAATAAATCAAAAGATAAATTACAAAGGGAAGGGGAAGAGATATGATACAAGTGTAAATATGCAGAAACCCATCACAATGCTTAAGAGTATTCAAACCAATCTGAGAGTTCCATCCTGCTTACTTAATTCAAGAAAGTATTAGGCACAGGTTGGCAAGAGCCAAGCTTGGGAACCCCAGAGTGTGTGTTGGGGTATTGCTGGAGTCTAACCAGTTAAACCGCATAGCTTGCCATTGATATTGTCTGGCAAGCTTAACCACTGCTTGTCCAGCTGGGACCACCCTATCCATTAGGACTTTGGCTTGCAGGGTTAACAGGAGCTGAGTGGGATGACTCCCTGCCCCCAGTGACTGGTTTGCCCTGGGGCTGAAAGGGTGAACAACAACAACAATAACAACAAGATTCTATTTATAAAGCGCCTTTCACGTTGGGAGTACATCCCAAGGCGCTGTACAGTTGGGTCAGGACCCGAGCAGGGGGGAAATGGTCAGGGTGAGGGGAGGGAAGGGAGGGAGCGAGGAGGGGGTAGAGAGTCGAGAGAACAGAAGAGATTCAAATTAATTTTTTGTTTCCTGTTTAGAGGTTAATATTTTAATCTTGCTATATTTCTTAATGGATTTGTTTCTCCCCAACCAGCTGACACCAAAGACAACAGAGGACAGTAAGGATGCTGGAGATAAGCTGTCTGGCATGAACCTGTGACACGAATCTGACCACTGGCAGTGATGTCGATCTACGAGCTGAGGCCATTGTGGAGACTGCACAGAGCTTCTCCGAGGAGCTACCTTTTGCTCCTCATTGAAAACGTTTAGTTTGGGGTTTTTTGGGGAGTGGGGGAGGAAAAATCTACCATTTTTGAGCTATCTCAAAGTGAGTTCCCCCAAGCCTTCTACAAACAGCCAATGTTTGACAGAAGGAATTTCTTGCTTCCACGCATACTTATCCGTACAAAATTCCTGAAACTTCTGAGGTTTGAAAGATGAATACACTAGACATTCTGTCAAGTTATTACACTTTAATCTCTGTATCCACTTGATCAAGAACCAAGTCACAGCAAATTCCAAAGCTGACTTAATCTGTAGCACAATTCCTTGGTTATAAGTGCCACCCCCATCTCATGGCCTGAGACACTAGTCCCATTTTTATATCTCTGTTTTTCCATGCTTTCCATAAACATTTGCCCTTCCCACCCCACCCTGCTGCCATCTCCCAAGTGCTCAAACGTGCTGTCATTTTTAAATCTGAAAACACAAATATTTTATAGATTTTTACAAAAGCATGACCTGGAAACCAGCAATTATTTCACCACTGTTCAGATCTGTTGTTATTGCCTCCCAGGGGCATTGTGTACGTCCAGAAAACTTAACCGCAGTGTAAATGGTACAAGTCTCCAAAAAGGAGGGCACTCATCATTATGTCGCTTTTGGTTGCTTCTAATACTTTCGCGTTTCTCCTAATGATTTTCATTTACCAGCTTCCTATGACACAATTGCAATACTGTACTGACTTTCATGTATAATGTATCTGGAATAAAATGTCTCAGGCACAGTAAACTTTGCACACAAGAACTGCAATACTGGTAACGGTTGTCAGCTTGACTCAATTGGTAACACTCTGGTACTCTGGCTCAGAAGGTTGTGATTTCAGTTCACATCTAGGAACGTGTATTTATAATCCACAGTGACAATACACCAACTCTAATTCACTACCGGGGGCAGAGATAGTCCTTTGCATGAAACATCAAGCAAAGTCCTTTCTGCATGTTTAGGTGGTCATTAGAGATCTCTTAAAATTATTGGAAAGGGGAGGGATGTTTCTGCCCAATAATCCTTCAGATACAAATTAGTTTGTGGGATCTTGTTGTGCATAATACGTCTGCCTGTTCACCTAGAATAACAGTCGTCACCCTCGACTGTAACGGATGTGAGGCTCTGCTACATGAACAATGAAAGAATTCAGTTCTGAACTACATCTGATGATATCAAGCATTAGCTGTACTCTTCTTGCATGAAACACTTCTGCATGCATATGTTACTGCAATGTCGGGGGAGATCTGACAGCTTAAATGTAACTTTGTACTGCTCAGTCATCCTTTCCAGAACTGTGTGCTTCATAATAACAAGGGAGACAGAGACAATATTAATCACTCAGGCAGGCCTGCATAACCTCAGATAGCAACATACATAAACCCTCAGACATAATAATAATAATAATAATAATAATAATCCTTGCATTTGATATAGCACCTTATCACCTCGTCGAGACATCTCAAAGAACTTCACAGAACATACTATAAAGTGGATTGATTGTGTATTTTGTGGGCAAAATGTGGCAAATGATTGCGCACAGCAGTGACCCACAAACAGCCACGGAATTAGTGACCAAGTTTATTTGGGGGATTGTTGGCCAGGACACTGGAAGAGACAAACTCCCTTTTTTCAAATAGTGCCATAGCATCTTTCACATCCACCTGAACAAGTAGACGGGACCTTGGTTTAACGTCTCATCCGAAAGACGGCTAGACAGAGACACAAAGAAAAGCGCAGACTTACAGAGAGGCAGAGAGACACATAACAAGAAACACGAGGGATCGAAATCAGGAAAGGGTGAGGGGAGGGAGGAATTGGTACAAGGAAAGAGAGAAAGAAAAGAATGTAGTCCATAACGATGAGAGAGGGAGGAGCCAGAAACAGTGAAAAACAGAAGCCACAGTGAGATATATACATAATAACCATCATAGGGAAAAGCCACGTATGACAAGTCTGATCTTGAACTGAGAATGCTGCACGTTACCTGCCTGCGAAGTTGGCAGAGAAGTTTTAGATTGTTATAAGGGATAATATAAAGCGTATACTAATTTCATTTTTTTAACTCTAAGGTCACGATAGTGGGAGGTTCAGTGTTGGTGAGCTTCTGTCTCTTGGATCAGAGACACTGCTGTCTAATTACTACCTGGCCCTTAGGCAAGATCACGTTCTGTGCTGTTCCTGGGAGTAACTGGTAACTCCAGAAGTTTGACATGTGAAGGATCACCCAGGATTTGAGCACAGAATCTTCCCGGGATTTCCACATTCCTGACTGAAGCTGACATGATCTACCAACATTTCAGCACATACAAGTCTGGGTGATGCAGACTTACCTTTTTAATTGTCAAATGATCATAAATTGATATGGAGATAGCTAACCGGAGCTGTACATGGTCCAGAACGTTTTCTTTTTTTTTAGAAAAAGGTACGAGAAGTGAAAGTCTTGACTCCAAAAGAACTACCCATAACGTCACTGGAATGAAATTCTAGTGTTAGGAAATGTGAGGAGGGGAAGTTATATGACACAACACAAAGCAGAGCCTCGCTATACAAACTGGCTGGACTGATCTGCTTTGTGTTGTGTCACAGATCTTAGCGAATGTCACACACTGTGGGGAATGTAGCCACTGGGATCAAATGTCAGCTATTAAAACACCTGGATCTCGGTTCTTGCTTTAAGTGGGCAATCACTTCCCTTTCTGAATGGTAAGGCTGAGAACATATCTGGCTATCCGGAAGACATGTTGTGTGGTCCTGTCACAGGTCAATGGATTCTCGGTTTGTTTACCAAACTAAATGTTGGAATATATGTCATTATTTTCAAGTCGTCATTGGGTATTTATTTGTGCAAAACATTTGTGGGTTTGTAGTTCATCCGAGTCAACATGTTAGAGCTGGGAAAGTGAACATTCAGGCACCCACTGTCAATGCTAAACATCTTCAGGGTAGATGCAACACGGGTTAAACATAGAGTAAAGCTTGCTCATCACTGCCCCCCAAAATACTAATAATAATCCTTGCATTTGATATATTAGTATACACTTTATACTATCCCTTATGTCTTCGAGACGTCTCAAAGCGCTTCACAGAATATACTGTAAAGTGAATTGACTGTATATTTTGTGGGCAAAATGCAACAGCCGTTTCCCACAAACAGTCATGGATTGAAGTGACCAATTTATTATTATTATTATTATTGTTTTGAAGAGTTCTGCACAGTGCATGATAAGTTCTGCATTGTATACAATATGTTTTGAACTGAGTACAGTGTACCGAATCTACACACTCGGTACATTGTTCCGCACTGTGATACGGTGTTCGGCACTGCATGAAGTTTGATACTCCCAATCGCTATCCTGTGTGTTCTCCGGGAGGGAAAGCGAGGAGACAAATGATACAAAAAGCAGACCTGAAACTTTTTGAATCTCGTCCACGCCTTGGTCACTTCCCGGCTGGATTATTACAATGCCCTCTTCGCTGGTTTTCCCAGCTCCACCATACACAAAACTCAACAAATTCAAAAATCTGCCTTGATGCTCACCTGCACAAAACCCCGTACTCCCATCACATCAGTCCTTGCCAGGCTTCACTGGCTCCCAATCACCAAATAAATTGATTGCAAGATACTCTCACTGGTTTTCAAATCCCTTCACACCCTCGCACCTCTCTCCCTATCCAATTTGTTTAGCCCCCACTCTCCCACCCTCTGCCTCCACTCGGCTGACTCTGGCCTCCTGTTTGTCCCCCATCCCCTCTGCTCCACTATTAGTGGCCCTGCCTTCAGCTACTATGCCACGAAACGCTGGAACTCTCTCCCTCAATTCCTCCGTCTTGTCCCTTTCCTCCGCACTTTAAAGTTCTGCTTATAGTCGTCCCCCCTCCCTCTCCCCTTGGCTTGGGGTCAGACTCCGCCACTGTCAAGAGCTCCAGGATGCTACCCCACGTGAAGGGCTCTATATAAATGCAAGTTGTTCTTGTTGAATGAGAAGATGAAGATATTCAATGGTATTGGATTAATGGGTGGCCGAATGTGGGGAGGATTTTAAAAATAATCCTTGGTTTAAGAGAGCAACTTTCATGCTACTTCCCCTTTAATGTAACACACGTCAATGTTGTGCCAATACATACACTTCTTGTGTGACACTGTTAATTCACCATTATTAATTATTGCACATATTGATCAAATTTCTGTCCCATTTTACAGAGTGAAATAGATTGCGGATANTTTTTAGGCTTTCCTTCCCCTTTAAGTGTGTGTTTCTCTGCTGCACATTGGCATCACTCAGCCTCATGACAGAACTGATTGTTTGTAGTGTATTTATGATCCAGTCGTAGTTTCAGTAAAACCTCAGGAAACACTATACAGAGATGGGAAAGAACATGAAACAAATCCTGGGATTGGTGCAGCAAGCTGACTGGTTGCTGTTTGAAATAACAACACTCTGGCTGTTTACAGTCCTTTCCCTGAACACACAAGCTCTCCACATCAGTCAGGAAGAGGCAGGAGGTTGACATGTTTGCCCTTGAAACACAAACCCACAAACATCACTGCAGCCCCCCTATCAAACTCCGCTCACCTGTTTATCTCCAGCTGACCCCTGTCCACCTCCAGATAACCTGTCCCACTCCAGATATTATTACTATATTTACGGCAAGTTATACACACAACATATATCTCAATCTTTTGATACAAATTGTACAAGAGAATAAATTGTTTGCGATTAATAGTGTGTGAGAGACATATTACACCCTGGACACTAATTTAAGGGACGCTACCGTGCGTGAGGAGCACTATATGAATGCAAGTTGCTATTGTTGGATATAGTGGACTATACCTGGTGAACATTTAATAATAATAATAATAATAATAATAATCCTTGCATTTGGATATACGTGGGGAGGACGTCCCAAAGCGCGACTATACTTTGTGACCATTTATACTTGGCCAAGGTTTCGCCCTCTGCCTGGAATTGAACTCAGGTCTCTCACTTGCAAAGCGAGTGCTCTAACCACTGAGCTACAGGACTCCATTTATACTACATGGAACAGCATAGTAGAAATCAACATTAACAGAATGATTTGAAAGGTGGAATTCCCTGGATCACAGAGCCTGGGACCTCATTAAGAAAGTGGATTTGACATCACTTTAATTATCTGGGTGGAAGGGAACCCGAGGTGTTTAAGTGGAGTGAAACAGCTACCGTTACTCCAGGGAATCAGACCTGTGCTCAGAGTAACAATATTAGAGACCAAAGGAGCGATTATAAATTGCCTGTTTAATGTTAAATAAATGTACAATGAATATTTAATACATATTTATTATTGATAGAAATCCTTCCTTTTTTGAACTCATCCACATTACCACCCAAACACTGACACCCAGTTTTCATTCCCGTAAATCGCAATGCTACACACATCATTAATAATTGAAAAATATAATCTTTGCATTTGAAACATAGGAATGCCAGATGTAATTGCTGTCATGTGGAGTGACTGTGTTTTTAGACAAATGCAGCCACCAATTTTGCACGTAGCAAGGTCCCGCAAACTGCCCTGAGATGAATGATCAATTAAACTAGAGATTTGCTGACATGAGGAGAAACAAGTCCCACATCAGGATTTTAAGCTCAATATGGTCTAGACCGACATTCCATTGTAGTGCTGGGATGTTAAGATGTATTGTTGGAAGTGCCGTCCTCTGGACGTTCAGCTGGATGTTAAAAATTTCATGGCCCAAATCAAACAGAGAAGGACATTTG